TTTCTTATACAGGGTGACAATTTGAAAACTTACCACCCCCCATATCTTAGTAAATAAACGAGATATTTAAAAAAATCAAAATCCGTTTCGATAATTCGGAGGGGGAATCACAATGACATAGTTGGCGACCGCACCCCCTCCAACCCCCTGCGCCCCAGCCACCCAAACTTTTAAATCTTAAATAGTGACCCCCCATGTGTGATACGTCGTTGGAAAGCTCTGAAAAAATGCTTTCCAACCATACCAAATAGCATTACATTTAGGTTAGTAATTATCGTGCAAATCAAAAAATAAACATGGAAAATCGTATTTAACCTGAACTTCCAAAGCCGACTCGACAGCAACTCATTTTTGATCGCCAGTTATAATCTATTCTCAAACTCTTGTCGAACCTTTTCAAATGTTGGTTTTGCAATATTTCGGCATTCTTGAATTATTCTCTGTCTTAGTTCGTCTAATGTTCGCCGGTTGCGTTTTAAATACGACAGATTTCAAATGTATCATATTAGTTTTTTTTTGATTTGCACGATAATTACTAACCTAAATGTAATGCTATTTGGTATGGTTGGAAAGCATTTTTTCAGAGCTTTCCAACGACATATCACACATGGGGGGTCACTATTTAAGATTTAAAAGTTGGGGTGGCTGGGGCGCAGGGGGTTGGAGGGGGTGCGTCGCCAACTATGTCATTGTGATTCCCCCACCGAATTACCGAAACGGATTTTGATTTTTTTAAATATCTCGTTTATTTACTAAGATATGGGGGGTGGTAAGTTTTCAAATTGTCACCCTGTATAAGAAATTGGGCGAAAGGCGGCTTATGATTGGTCAAAATTAGGCTTGGCAAACCTGGATATAGGTTGGTACTTGATACTTTATGACAGCTGTTATATAAATTGGATGGCGCCCATACATTTCTATAAGCGATAAAACCTGATCCCTTGTCCACGACATGTTTCAAACTGTATATCGATGAGATTAAGAAATGAAATAGGTTATGTTAAATGTTTATGGTTTGCCTCCAGCTGTTCATGATGACGTATTTCAAGACGCTTGAAGTTAGCGAGAGCGGCGAACGCATTTGCACGGTCTGCGCAGAAATCTGCGCAATTCTTGTACAAGAAAATGAGTTTTATTCATTTTCTTGTATAGTTTCTGATATAAGAAATTGCTTCCTGTATGACACTGTACATTTTTTTATTATATCAGAAACGATATAAGAAATTGTACAAGAAATTGCATAGTGTCATACAGCCTTTAGGTTAAAACGTTTTAAAATCAATGACAGCTGTCATACCACAGAATACTGTTCCACATAATTACCACTCGCTTTTCTAGTAACATCACTAAAATCGTTTGTGAACTTTTGGTCACTAAACCAACCTGATGATCACATGAAGTGCTAGTTAACTAACAGTGGTACAACCGGCCCTCACGGAGATAAACTGCTGACTCCGTAGCCGTAAAGGGTCGCTCCCATACGGCACTCTCCATTTTGACGCGTCCAATCACCAGGTGTGCACACCGTCACCGCATCAAAGAAACGAATACCAACCTATCCACGATTACGTAAGAATTTTATCAACGATCTTCGATGACCATTACACCTTTGATTAGCCTCAGCGTCCTAGTATACCTTTCTAATTTAGTAACTCCATGGAGTATAACCCATATTTATCTGTTAGGTTAACCTTATGTAAATAAATTTTCATTAACTATTTTTCATAAATTTTGTGTACAAGTGAAGCTTGGTTGTTGGCCAATTCTCTCTTTTCCAAATTTACGGTCCCGGACTGATGTTCCCTCGGGGTCATTGGTTTACGGTACACTATCAAAAGGAAATGTTACAGGAAGTATTCAGGCAAAATTAATATTAGAAGCTGTCCTGTTATGTGAAGCAGCCGGTTTATATATTGATGTGGTTACTTCTGATGGAGCAGCTTGGAATAGATCAATGTGGAAAGAATTCAAGGCAGAAAATTCAGACACACCATGGTGTATCCACCCATGTAACAGGCAGAGAAAATTAAGAATGTGTTCTGATTATTTACACCTTTTGAAATGTGTTCGGAATCGTTTGGTCATCAAAAAGGGAGTTTCATGTCCATGAAGGTCATGTTCGGTTGCAACACTTTCAAAAGTTATTAGAATATGACGCCAAACATGAATTTAAATTAGCCCATAAACTCACCCCGAAACATTTAAACCCGCAAAATCATGAAAAAATGACAACAAAGTTAGCTTTTCAGTTATTTAGCGATACTGTAGCAGATGCGTTTTTACTTCTAAAGGAAAAGAATCCTAATTGGGTTTCAAGATGCCGAGCCCACAATTCAGTTTTGTAGGTGTAGGTATAAATTTGCTATCAGACATTTTGAATTCAAATAGTTACTTGAAAGCACTGCGACCAGATTCTGAACAGGAGCGAGAGTCGCAGAATTTTTGCTGTATTTGGAATTATGGGAGTCCTGTTCAGAACCAAATTTTTATCTTACAAAATCTACTGCAAAAGGGCTCAAAGCCACAATAAGTACTACACTAGATCTACTAAGCTATTGTACAAAAGATTTAGGATTTGAATATCTCATGACCACACGCATAAATCAAGATCCTCTTGAGCATTTCTTTGGGCTTTTACGAGCTAGTGGTGGAGATAATAGTAATGCAGAGTCTCTTCAAATAGCCCAAATTTTTATACTAGTATCCTTGTATTCACTTGTTAAACCTCCCGCAGGTAGCAATGTATCTGGTGGCAACATGCTTGAAGCATTAGCTAATAGCACCAACAATATCTTAAGCTATAATACAACAGATAAACAAAAGTTAACCAAAAAGGATTTGGACTTACACTTAGATCAGGTCTTAACACATGATATTGGCAATGCCGTTGGGATACAAATTGAAGACAATGAAGAGGCATTTGCATATGTATGTGTGGGTTTCTGGCTCGGCGACACAAGAATGACAAATGTAGAGAGTGTAGTGCAACAATTGTCGGGGATGGAATTGAATCATTTAATGTTTTTATTAAACTGCGAAGCAGAGGCCACCTTATCTTCCCGTCTGCAGCTCTTGTTGTTGTACAGGGTGGAGCGTGGGAGACAGATGGAATTGGTAGAGGCGCCGTGCGTGGCGCATGCGCAACAGGGGTCTGGGAGGGGGTTTACCTGAAAGAGGGGAATGGGAAGTTTATGTTTTGTAGCTAATCAGTCGCAACAATGTTTTGGTCAGTGGAACATCGTACGTTTTGTGTCAAAGCCTATTTTGAGAATGGCCGCTCGATCGTACGCGTGCAACGTGCCTTCCGTTTGAGGTTTAATATCGCCCCCCGTGGCCGAATTCCCGACCGAAATCGCATTCTTTCGTGGGTGAATGCATTCGAAACGAGTGGTAATGTGTCAACGATCAGAAGGGGGCCTCAGAACTCCGTCATTACCCCAGAAAACGTTGAAAGAGTTCGAGTCGCCATTCAACAATCTCCAAGGCGGTCAATTCGGAAACAGTCACAAGTCCTTGGCATTTCGAGACGATCTATGCATCGAATAATCAAAGAACACCTGCATATGCATCCCTACAAAATGGTAGTCGTTCAGGGATTGAAACCACGTGATTACGAAGCCAGACAAATCGCGAGTGAAAATATCCTTGCAGCACTGCCTCGAGACGCTGTTGTGTTCTTCTCTGACGAGGCACATTTCCATCTTAGCGGTTGTGTCAACAAGCAAAACATGCGCTATTGGAGCGAAACAAACCCCAGGGAACTCCATCAGAGGCCTCTTCACTCCGATAGGGTAACCGTATGGTGTGCACTTTCGAAAAATGGGATCATCGGACCTTATTTTTTTTGAGGAAAATGACAGAGCCGTTTCCGTCAACTCGGCGCGTTATTTGACTATGATTCAGGAGTTTTTCTTGCATGCATTAGATGAAATGGGTGTGGATGAGGACGTCTGGTTCCAACAAGATGGGGCCACCGCCCACACAGCAAGAAGAGTGATGGAGTTTTTGAGAGGGAGGTTCCCCGGGCGCCTCATCTCCCTGAGAGGCGATTTGGACTGGCCAGCGCGGTCGCCAGATTTGGCCCCTTGCGACTTTTTCCTTTGGGGCTACCTCAAATCCAAGGTTTACAATGATCGTCCCAGGACCATAGAAGACCTCAAGAACAACATCAGGGCCAACATCGCTGAAATTCCTGTTGAAATGCTCGGAAGAGTTCACGAAAACTTCAGAAAACGTCTTGATCAGTGTATTCAGAGTGAGGGTGCCCATATGCCAGATACGCTGTTCAAAACCAAATAAATCTAAATTTCCAATGCTTACACATGAGGTAAAAAAAAAAGTTTGAGAATTTTTCATCAATTAGTAATGTTTTTTCATTTTATAATCCATCTGTCTCTCGCGCTCCACCCTGTACTTCAAGAAGTGGAGTCAATCATTGCCACGTCTCTGAAAAATGAATTGAAAAGTAACACTTTGATTACCATTTTTGAAGCGGTTGGAAGATCAAAAGTTCATTCCGTTGTAGGATGTGTTTATCATCAAGAAGAATTTACCAAAAAAATTATATTCTCTTTCTTGATGCTGTGAATGAAACTAGCGAAGTTGGTTTAAAATATTTGTAAAAAATGTAACAGGCTGTTTACCTGATAAATATATAGGAAAAGGGTCTATGTTTTAATGCATTTTCATTTTAAATTTCCATGGAAAGTAGGAGAGCGATAACTAAGTAATTGTACTCGGCATGAGACCGACGGCAGGGAAGCTGTACAGAAGTGTGTAGGCGTTTCCCCACACACCGATGGGAGTTAGCATCGACACCTAATGCAATTCCACATCGTTGCCTACGCAGTGATCCGTCATTCTTCTGAAGTCCGAAGTTGGTCGCTTTGCAGAGGCGTTAGATGGGAAGTTAGGATCAGTCACATTTTCCTAGTTCTGTTTTGTAATTCAACCTCCAGCACTGCCACACTCCTTGGTTAAAGTTATTGCACTTCGCACTAGTCCCCTTCTAACCAGAATTTAGATCCTGGGAGCTTCCGAGATTAAGATGTAAAATAACAAGGTAGGTTGAACAAGTTAGGTCCCCTACCTTCCATCTGAACAGTAATAATGTAGACTTTCGCCAATTCCTCCAATCCCCATCTCAGCAGGCGAAAATCTCGGTAATCAATCGGACAATAATGATTTTGAGTCAGAGGTTCTTACATCTCTCGGCATGATTGCTTACACAGTTACACCGTAGATTGTGTGGGAGAGGGTCATTTGATGCTTATCTACTATTCAGCTACGCATTCGTAAGTGTTCGCCCATCTTTAAGGATTTAGGTTTTTTGATGTGGTTCTCCTATTGGTCTGGGCGGTTAAGCAAAATCTCTCGTTCCAGCCTAAGAAGGGTTGGGCTCCTGGTTTGTTTACATGGTTTACCTTGATCAATGACTTCGCTTGATCTACTACAAGCCCAGACAGCTAGGCGGGGTGAGAAGTCTGCAATGCAGGTATTGCGCTACTATTTACTGTGATAACGAGCATCCTTTTCAGTGGAACTCCTCAATGCTCCGCAATTTTTAATATTAGAAAAGTGAACAGTGCAATATGCACGTTTACTTGCTTATACATCTGATTAGTACTTGTCTATTTTGCTTACCGAAATTGTTTGCAACAATAACTAGGTTTCACGCACTGTAGATGCCAAACCACATTAAGTCGCTAAGTAAAAAATATGATAAAGTTGTGTCCTGAATACGAATTGAATTAACCACACATAACCTAAAACAATATAAATGACATAATTTGAAGTACACTGATCACCCTGGCGCCATCTATGGATTGAGTTTACCTAGCGCCGGATTTGGCGTCAAATTTTACAGGTATAAGCGCGCCTACCAATCTCTATATATCTTGGGTTTTTTGACAGCGGCAATCCGCACTCGACAGCGGGATGTATCGTGACGTAAAAGTTCATTTTATCAATGTTACAAGTAGAAATAAAGTTGTGCGCAATATCTCTTATTCTTTGTATAAGTATGTAGTTTTCTTTCACCATACTACAGTCGTGACCGTGGTTTCGGATAACGCGGTGAACATGAAGTCGGCCATAAATGATTTCTTGAAAAAACATCCATCCTTGTGTGGCCCACACGTTAAATCTTTTGGTGCAAGGGTGCATCAAAGCTAATAATAGTTTACAGACCGTATTAAAAAAATGTCGCCATATTGTGGGTCATTTTAAACACAGTGTAGTTGCAACGGATAAACTCCTGGAAAAACAAAACCAAATGATCGTTCCTCCCTTAAAAATAAAGCAGGACGTAAGTACGCGCTGGAATTCGTCGTACTTTATGATCAAGCGTTTAATCGACTTAAAAATTCCATTAACTGCCGCAATGGCAACCCTTAACAATCCTCCAGAATTTTTAAATGCCGATGAATACAAGATTGTCTACCCATTTTAAAGTTCGCCAACACCATGACGGAGACGTTATCTGGAGAAAAGTACCCCACCATCTTTTGTTATACCCCTCATCAGAGGCCTCCAACATGCAGTAAGAAATACTGCACTACCTCAAGGCACGAACTGCGGAAAAGAATTGTAAGATGCCTTTATAGCAAATATTTCAAAACGTTTAGCGTGTTTTGAGGTTAATAAGATTTGCGCTAAGGCTACGTTTTTAGATCCGAGGTTTAAAAAACACGGATTTGGAAACCAAACCAACGCCGATAGGTAATGCGCAAACGTGGTTGATTGAGGAGCTCAAGGAAATAATAGCAAATGAACAATTATCTTCAGCTTCTGCCTCGGGTTCTGCTGTTCAAAATTCAAGTGCTAGTGTTCACAGTGAAACTAGGAATGAACCCAGTGACCACGATAAAAATATACTGTGGGCTTATTTTGAATCCAAAGTGGAAAATTTTAAGAGCGTTAGTTCCCCCCATGCCCAAGCGATGGTCATAATTCGTCAATATTTGGAACTACCAATTTGTGAGAGATCTACCAATCCAATGGACTTTTGGGAGCAGCATATTTCCCCAAATCAAATGTATAAATTATTTAAAAAGTATTTATGTGTACCGGCAACATCAGTTCCATCAGAACGACTTTTTTCTAAGGCTGGTCAAATCACGAATGATCGACGCAACAGACTGCTTCCAAAAAATTTAAATTATATTGTATTCTTAAACAGCAATTTCAGTGAATAATGACATATTGTATTATAAAATTAAAGTGTTTTCTGAAATCGAATGATATTTTAATTTAATTAAAATAAGGGATTATCTTTACGATCGATTTGTGTTACATCAACATTTTATTTAGGTAATCAAACATACTTAGGGCCAATTCTACAATGAAGGTATATACCGAGAATAAGCTATACCTAGAATAAATGTCGACGGTTGCGTTGGTTACCATTGTATCAACCAATGGCATACATGTTGCTATGGCAGTTATTCCAAGAATATCTTATTCTCCGTAAAAGTGTAATTGTAAAACCGGCCCTAAGGTACTTAAACTATGCGTAAAAAATAGTAATACAATTACAAACATAATTGAATCGTCAGGTGGGCTTTCGAATTTCGATTCAATGTTGAGCTTGGAATTAAATAATTACGAGTTCGGAGAGGGCAGTTTTGTACTTTCCGTTATGAAAACGAAGCATATTTCGAAATATGGTATGACATCCGCCATCCGGCATCGTCGCACCGAGACCGAGATAAATATACCATTCTCGTGCGCCTGCGAAACGAATGATCACGTTACGCCACAGAGTTGTATACTATGCGATCAAAAATGAGTTGCTGTCGAGTCACCTTTGAAATTTTTGTTTACATGGTAAATCGTACTTAACTTGAACTTCCAAAGGCGACTTGACAGCAACTCATTGCTGGACAACAGAGCATTTAGCGACGAATCTATTTTTAATATCAATAACCATGCCGGAAACACCTACGTCAGAAGGTTTCCTGGTGAAGAATTTTTGCCAAATGTGTTGTTCCAACAATTAAACATCCAACCTCCGTTATGATATGGGGTTGCAGGTCCGCTCAAGGAGTTGGTCGATTACACGTCGTCTCTGGAATTATGAACTCTGCCAAATACATCAATGTACTGCAGGACAAGATGCTACCCAGTGGAAAAGACCTGTTTGGTAAAAAAATTGTTTTCCAGGATGACAATGCTCCTTGCCATAGAGCAAAATTGGTTCAATCATTGATGGAGAGGAATAAAATCAATAGGTTGGACTGGCCAGCGCAATCTCCGGACTTTAATCCTATCGAGAATTTGTGCCAAAGGATATCGAATACCATATCCAAAAGAGTGAAAAATGGCTCCGTAAAGTTAGCACCAACATGTAAGGCACAAACAATTTAATGATAATACGTCGATTGTGCTTCGTTTGTGCTTGTTTGTGCGATACATTTTAAAGTCAACACCCGCACCAATATTATGTAATTTCAATTTTTATTATGCGGGTGCCAACTTTTACGTGGCACCCAAAAGGTTAACGAATTAAAATTGTAATATGCTTATTCGTTTGTGCTTCGTTTGTGCTTGTTTGTGCCTTACATTGTAACATCAAAA